TTGGTAACTTGTAACTGCAACTAGTTTTTAGGTAAAAAACTGTAACTAGATACTTTCATAAAGTAACTTTCCCAATCCTCGATTTCAAATATATAAATATTTACAAGAGCTATACAATAAATCTGTTCGTTTTACATTTTGTAATATTTTCTGTGCTCGAAGCAGACGTGTTCTATTAAATAGATAATATTTCTCACATATGATTTCCATACGCAACATAAACAAAGAAAGAAACAAACGGAACTTTCGAGCAATCTAACTCTAACGCGTAGTATTAATATTTAAATTTAATTTGTCATTTAAAGTGCAGGCTCACATGCGCGTGCATGTGTGTGTGTCGACTTAATATCTTCGTTCTTTTTTTCCTATGCAAATAGAACAAAAAAAAAGAGAAGGAAAAGAAGCGAACGAACCCTTGATCAATCTAATATATATTTATAATTTAATAAATTTATAACTCTTAATACAAACACAACTACCTATAAATATATGTTTACTAATATAATACGTTCGTTCGTTATTTTCCCCTATTCGATTCTTACATTAATAAAAAAAAGCAGAAAAATTAATCCTTTTCAAACTATAAACGTATTACATATATGTATAATTACAAATTCAGACTGTATTTAATATTTAATACAAGAATTACTAAAATACTCTAACAATACTGGCTTGCGCATTGAAGGGTTCAAAAGAAATAGTCTCGCGTAATAATCTTATCTCTCACTTGGCGTAGCGTGCAATAAAAAAGTGAATAGCTTTGTATGTACCCTATTTATAATGCACGACAAACTGTAAAGAAGGATTGACGTTCCTCTCAACGTTCTTCTCCTCTACATTTTCTATGCGATAACAATATGCAAATGCGCAGTTTAGTATTATTAAAGTTCGGTAATGACACTCAAAGCAGCATTATAATCTCCATCTTTTCATGTAAACGTAGCGGCGTATGTCAGGAATATTATAAATCTGAAGTTTTTGACGTACTTGGACTGCAGAGAAAATGATATCGAGAATGAATAAAGGATAAATTGATAAATTATCATATTGTAGAAATATTTAAATTCATAAAATATGTAAAAGATTTGAATAAAAAATTGAATTTTAGAAACAAATAGAATGTAAATTTCTCGCTTTGATTGCACTAGGAACTTTATTATCTTCTATTCAATAATAACGCGAGTGTGATTATTTCACAATCAACCCCGAATCATAATATCTAATATTTTATGTCTAATGAGGGAGAACAGTTTGTTTCTATGTACGCGTTTGTAAAAATATTCAGCTGAAGCCTTTAGAAAGCACATTTTCTTATTAAATATCAAATTTCAGACTGAATTGTTTATTAAATCGATCAAAAAGTTTGCTTTTGACTATACAATTGTTATATTTAATCTTACGGTTACAACAAAACAAAATTAAGAACTTTTTGCTCATTCTAGATCCATATTTTGAAGTGGAAGAGAAGGGAAAGACGGGGGAGGGGGGAGGTAATAGGGGAGGGGATGAGAACGAGAGAAAGCGAGAGTTCGAAAAAAAACAATAAAGAGTACAGAAATACTAATCAAGATAAACAGAGTTTATATCATACGAATCGAATGAAATGTAATCTAACAATAAGCTAGTTTAATTTAACTCTAGTATTACACAAATGTACAACCTTTTATAATTTATAGATTCAACCGACATCATTGCTCCATTTCCTCTACAAGTTTTACACTTTATATAATTTTGCTAAAATCGGGTATAAGTCTGGTGATGAGAATTAGCTTTGGACACCATAGACTAAAAACGATCCTTGTCCCTATCAATTCTAAGGATGAAATTTTCGTACTGAAAGTACATATTACACTCCTCAACACTTTAAACTTCTCTTTGTATTTAAAAAAAGAAAGCAGAAAAAGGAAAGTAGAAAAAGAACAGAAGATAAAATATGTAAAAAAAAAGGAGAAATTGAAGTTGTTATTAAATTCTTTAAACATCGTTCTTTTCTTTAATATTTCATTTGTCACATATTTTTTATATTGATATTTCTCAGTTTTGCAAATAAATTATAAGTTAAGAGAAAATTTATAATATTAAGAAAATAAAAATTAAGGTAAAGCGCAAGATTGATTTGCAAGTAAATTGTAGGGGAAAATATCTGAAATTTTTAAGAAGAGAAAAGGAACATGTTAATACTCTCAAGTTTACTTCAATTTCCCGTGCTATAGACGTGTGAAAATATGCCCTTTCCTTTCTTTACTTTATTAATGTTAATTAATACTTTTATTTTCTTCTCTTTCTCTTCATTCTTTTTGCCTTGCTCCTCCTCCTCCTCTTCTTCTTCTTAGCTATCCTCTTGTCCTTGTTATGAATTTATTAATGTTATTTCTTCTTCCTCTCCTTTTTCTTTTCTCTCCCATTGTTATTTATGAACTTTCTTCCTTTTCTTCCTTTATCCTCGACGTGATTTCCGAAGGTTGACTATCCAAAGGTTGACTATCGCTATTGCGACTTGGAGTGTCGTAGCTCGGCGTTGCACTCGGCGCGTAAACGTTTGCCAGTTGCTCGTATTGATTCAAATCTCCACTGTGCTGACTGATCTCCGACATATTACCTCTATTGTTATTTTCTTTCGGGAACAATTCCTGCTCGTATTTGATTCTCTCCATGTCGCGGATCTCTTCCCGATCTCTTCTCGTCATTCTCTCTTGGCGACTAACGTTATCGTCGACTTGTTCAGTAACAGTGAAAGAAGGGCCGCTATCCTTGGTGAAGAGATGTATAGGTCGTTGGAATCCTTTGGAAGGATGCGGTGGTATAGAAACGACTTCGCATTTGCAAAAACCAACAGTAGATAGAAGATACTGCGTGAAATTATGCGGCCGAAACTCAATACTGTGATAATTTTTATAAATCCGTTCCTGAAAGATAGAAATAAAAGGTGATAGAGATGAAGTGTCAATAGAGAAATATAATAATTAAAGGAAACATGTTATAATAGTATATAGAAAAGCAGTGCTCACCGTAAGATTCTTTTTCTTCGTATAGCTGGCCCAACCCTGTGGTTCCAGCACAAGAACTCCACCGGGGCGTAATTGCGCGTGCATACGTTTGAAAGCTTGTTTTAATCCGGCATCGCCAAAATTGAGGTGAATCCACTTGGTGATGGATAAACATAAGATTGTATCAAATTGCGTATGTTCCGCGCATAAAAGTGAATCATTTTCAAGCACATAATTACCCTGAAAGCAAGGATATAGTTTGGATGATGATACGGCTATGACGAATACGTTAGTTGCAACAACTATATAAATATTACCTGTACAAAAGTAACATTATATGGGAATCCTTTATGCTGTTTATTCTTTGTAAATCCTGGAATGTCTACAGGCCCGTAACTAATTGGCATCGACATGGGAAAGAAGCTAGCGTCCGAAGAGTCCCTCTTGTCATTATCCTCACTGCTCGCGGGGCTTTGCACGCAATTAACATAGTGTTTCACGTTCTTCCGAGCAATATTTATCAAAGTCCTATCAATATCAATTCCTGTAACACTCTTGGCACCAAGATCCCTGGCAATCGATAGAGTAATGTGACCAATGTTGCATCCAATATCCAGAATGTCCTTTCCCAGGAACAGTAGCTTTCGCTGTGCAAACATTTTTAACCTAGGATCTACTTGATTATGAGGATTTCTGTATCCATAGTATCTATTGTAGTTTCCATATTGATATCTAGCATCTTTAGGCCTGAAATTGGGCATTGGGTGTTGCTGCTTCTTTTTCTTATCCTGACTGGGCCTATGTTGCGGTCTGGGCTTCCACGCGCCAGGTTGTGGAATCACTGGGCTCACTATTTTATCCTTGGCATCAATTTTCCTCAACCTTTTATCCTTAATTTCCTCCAAACCCTTTAATCGTAATCTATTTTTATCTTTCTGTGGACTGTCCGTCTTACTTTCTTTTAGACAATTTTCACTTTGTGCACTTGACGCTTCTTCGAAGCAAATTCTTTCAGCAGAAAGTCTTTCCATCGGAGATTCAACTGCTTCGCAGTCTCCTTCAGTTTCTCTCGGTTTCTTCGCTTCGTTGGGATCCATCTTTTCACAAGTCTAAATGAAAGATAGAAATTTATAATTGTCAATCATTATCCGTCTAAATAACGAAACATAAGCAAAAGAATGACCTACCAACTTCCCTTCGTCTTTGCCAGATGCAGAAAGAGCTCTCTTCCTCTTTCTATTTCTTCGTTTGGAATTTCTCTTGGTGGGCGAAATGAGCTGCTTCTCGTACTCTTCATTATCGTTGCAATTTGTCAAGTTCAAGGGATCACAAATATTTGGAGGGATAATCACTTCGATAATCTCTTTTTTATGCTTCGGAGTGGGAAGTGGACTTGATTTTGGCGTCACTGCATTCATAGCTCGATTGACCTCCTCGTCTTGCATGCTATTTAGATTTAAGGGATCACAAATGTTGCCCCCCAGCAAAAATTTCGTAGGAGGGATAATGACACCTTCCTTCTTTCTACGTTTGTACGGAGGGAAGGATTTTCCATTGCTGCAAAAGCTGCTTTGGGGTCGTTTTCTATTGCTGAACTTGAAATAGCGATTGTCATCGTGCTTGTTGTGCTTCTTGTGTGAGAGATTGAAGACTTTTCTCGATTTCTCGTTCTCCTTCTTATTGTTTTGACCTACTTTTGGAGGACGATCCACTTGTACAGAAGACATTTTGCTCAACCTGCAAGTTGGAAAAGATAAAAATAACACGACTGAAGATATGAAACATGCCGATGTAGAGCGATTCTTAATGCTAATTTTCCAACAATAAATAATAGATACGGTTCAACTGGAATTTAAGTGAAAGATCAAGTCGTAAGGATGAGGGCATAGAGAAATGTGCCTTTTACTTGCACTTGGTGGACTCTTTTTCGGTCAATCTAAAACAGTGTAAAAAGGCAGTTTCGGAGAAAAGATCCGTTATGGTTGGACCGACGGTAGTTGTCGGCATTTCTCGTCGCTTATTTGCATCGGATAACCTCTGGAAAGAAGGAGAGTGTGGAAAAAGGCGGGGGTAAAATAAGGAGACAATGCTCCATGCTTTCTACACCAAAGAGGTCCATCGTCCGCGTGGCGGCGCCGTCAGCACGCGCGGCACAGCGTGTGGTGCGTCGGTACCGCCGTTACTGCCGCCGCCGCCGCCGCCGCCGCCGCCGTACCGCCATCACCGCCACGACCGCCACCGTCGCCGATGCCGCCGCCACGGCCGCCACGGCCGCCACCGCTGCCGTTGCCGCCGCTGCCGCGCGCCGCCGCCGCCGCCGCCATTGCCGCTGCCGTCGCTGCCGTCGCTGCCGACAGCACGTCGTCAATTCGCCATATTCGCCACATTGCAGCTTTTCTCCCCGTCACCGTTCGCACCGTCGATCACGAATATGTATGCTCACCTCGACAAACGGATACTCTCGTCCACTTCTCTCTTCCAATTGCTCCTACGACTATCCTCACGATAATCCTCCTCCTACGTCTCGCTCGCGACTGCGACGTCCATGTAACGCCTGCCCGTCTACTATGGCGAATAACTGCTTGTCGAGTGCGAGCGACGACCGAAAGCTCGCGCCGCACCGCGACGCCATTTTCTATTAGGCTCCGCCGAGCGACAGGGTCGTATTAAACGGATACGACCCTGACGAAAATTTCTCCCATTTTTTCCCCCATTTCGTCTTTAACTTGCTCAAATTTCTTCAATTTTTTCGAGAATTTCACTATTTTACAAGAAACACAAGGCACAAAATATCTTTTACATTTATATACACGCATACACGGTACACAATGTGTTGTATGTCGAGTGGAGCAACGAGGAGGGCAATTTTCAGCAAATCTAAAGCGAGAGGAAACAATGCTCAAGCGATACCGTCGCTGACCGTCGCAACTGTCACAAGTCACAACTTCACAAGTCGGATCGAATTTGCAGCGATGTTAACTCGAGTGTGAAAGAGCAGCCGTGTTCACGTTCGTGTAAACCCCGTTTAGCCGTTTAGCCATTTAGCCGTTTAGCGTAGCAGTGGCCCTTTCTCGCGCGTTAAATTACCTCGCTCGTACTTTTATCTCTCTCATCACGCGAAAAACATGTCGGATCTCGTCGTAAGATTACGAAATTTGCGACAAATTACTAAGAGTCGCGACAATCGCAATCATACGAGGCAAACAACGTTACAGTTATTCCAAGACCGGGATCGCGAACGTGACATCGTCGCGGAAATTGGACCAGCTACTCCACGGGTAAATCAATTTCACTCTACCCCCTGAGAGAATTTTCGAAACGAAATTTCTATTTTGATTTTCAGAACAGAGCATGGGCCAGCTCCTTTCTTCCCTCTTATACACCCCAATTATTTGTAACCTCTCCGATAGCGATTAGGACCGTGCCTGTACCTCCAAACGCTCCCATCAAACCAAGGAAATCTTTCCCCAAAGAAGGTTTAAAACCGAAAAAGCTTCATTTTACAGATAATGAAACAGAGAAAGAAAACTCCTCTCAAAAGAGCACACAACTTTCAAAGCAACAAGACCAATCAAATCAAAGCTATAATCGCGATAGCTTGAGTAATGTATTGCAAAATTTGCGACTCGAGTTAGACAACAAGGAGAATATGCGATATGGACTGGGACGACATGAAAGAAAAATGAAAAATAATCGTTCTGTCGCGAAGGAACGTGTAAAAAATCACTATGATTCTTCGCAATCGTCAAAATTAAACTCTTGTGAGAAAAGCGAATTTGTATACTTTCGTATATAAGTTGCCGGAATCAATTATTATATCATCATCAGACTAGCACAGTAATAATAATAATAATGGTAATGATGACGATTAAATGTGTTTATGAATTAATGAGTTCATTGAATATTATTAAGTTACTCAGTATAATATATCACAATGATAATTGAATCACTATACTCGTGATTAATTAATTAAGCACTATGCACAAATGTGATTATTAAATCAGTACATAAATAATAAATATATTGATTAAACGATTATTGTGTACAGGATCAGTATCATGGTAATTATTAATTAAGTAATGAAAATGTACAACTTTTAAAATGGTATAGAATACATTTTCTTGTAATAAGCTTGTATAACTGTTATTACATTATCATTATTTTTACATAAATAAGTAATCTAGATGTAATTATAATTACGTGAGTAAGTGCATTTATTTTGAAAATTAAATAATTATCTTGCAAGGGTAATAACTAATTCTTTCAAGCTCTGAAATTTTTTATGCTTTGATATTCAAATGTATACCCTTTCATTAATATATGTTTTAATATCGTTCGCCAAGAATAAAGAAACAAACTAATGACGAGATTTGTCAACGTGCGAAGGAATCTGGTTTCCTTTCCTTTCTTTTTTTACATTTCGCCAACTGCCCTGCCGTATTGTCACCGTGTGTGAAGCAAAGATGAGAAATTATTATGGATATAACCACAAAGAGACATGTGTATGTGGATCGAGTGCAGGAGAAATAATTTGGAATTGCGAAATAAATTCAAGTACGTGTCCATCATTTACTCTATTACGTATTAATATATATATTATTACTCGAGTAATACTATTTAAAGTAACATTACCCATACAGCACAGAAAGCTTTCAGAGATATTTAAGAAAGGTAATTTCATCCGAAAATTATAATTATATTATAGTTATCCTTCAAAAACATTTGACATTTCTTTGTAACAATAAAAATAAAAATAAAATAAATATACAAATTGACACAAGCCGAATTATGCCTTATGTGCAGCCTTCGAAATCAGATTCTTTGGGGTCAGACAAGTGTGTTTTTACGAAAAACCGGCAATTTGATTGGTTATACGTTTTTAGGATCGAGATCTTAGACTGATTTCTAGCATCGTGGACACAATTAAGGCTTTTAGGGTCGATTTTTCTAACCTTTTGGTAAACTAACTAATAGATCAATCATATAATTATTTTTGTTTTTTTTCTTCAAATTACACACAACAGGTTAGAAAAATTAGTCCTTAGTCATCAACATGTTTTAGAGATAAATTAGCTGAAAATTTTCAAATTTATTACATGAGAAAGATTTAAAAAATAGCTCAACTGATAGGTTTATAAAATATTTAATGTTAAACAATTCAGAGATAACTCAACTGAAAGATTTGATAAATGATTTTCATGTGGAAGGTTTCAGAAACATTTCTGTTACAACACTTCATATAACATATTGCAGAATTCTTTTAGAATAGTTACACATGCAATATGAAAGGTTGAAATGATTTTGAAACCTTTCTGGAAGCTTTCAGCAGCAATCGGTGCTGTATGGGTACATATAGTATTATAATATTATAATGATATACACATACATATAACTTAACGGTATAACTTAATATAATATAAGAGTAACAATATTATAGGGTTGGGAAAGTTACTTTATACAAAAGTATAATCTAGTTACAGTTACTCAAAAAGTAACGAATCGTTACTTTGCAGTTACTTTCTTGCAATGAAAATAAAAAAATGAAATTTGCATTTGAATTGTAAAGCGTCGACATAGGCATTTATACGCAAATGCAAGGCCTAATGCGATCTGTGGAAGTTTAAAAATATATAATGTAACTGAGTTACAGTTACAGATGCAGAGAAAGTAACCAAGTTAAGTTAGAGTTACCAAAAAATGTAACTGTAACTGTAACTTTGTTACAAGTAACAAGTTACTTCCCAACCTTGTAATATTAAATATCAATACGTCTATAGACAAAACTATCATCAACTGTTTAATACCAGACAAGTGCTGAACACGAAGGAAGTAGAGGAAAATTTATTATACACACAGCGCCGTCCAAGACTTGCGGCATCCGGCGTTATATTTAATAAGAAATAAATACACATAATGTCGGAAGTCTTGTGCGAGGCCATGGGGACAGTTATCCATAAGTTTATTATACCTTGGCACAAAGCACCATTCCATTATCGATATTAGAGATGAGATTACAAAAATTCAGTTTTATTTCGTGCTTAAAAAACTTGCAAGGATCTGTGATTCAACCGTACGAGAAGTAATTAGATGATAAGATTTTTTCTGCACCGGCCACGTCAACCCAAAACCTATGCATGTATACATATATTATGTAGAAAGTCTTATTTTCAAACTAAATGTTATACAAAGCAAACACTACACGTTTATGAAAATGAAAAATTTACTGTATTAAAACAAATTGTATACATATATAGTCATAACATAGTTAAAAATTGTTTAAATGTTAAATTATTTAATTATTATACAAATTTATTTAAAAAAATTAGTTACTGATCTTGGGGAAAATTATTTTAATTTAAACAAAAACTACGGCGCTGTGTGTAAAATCAATTATACCACATACATCTGTATAACATATGTCTGTATGCATACATATGTAAATCGAATATGTCACTAAATAACTATGTTGATACAACAGATTCCATGTTGATAAAAGAACATCTCGATCGGTGAACACCAAAAGGAATGGCAGTTACAAACGCATACATATGTATGTATATGTATGTGTATAAAATCAATATTAGAATTTCCTACTCAATATAAATGTAGTATAACATGTGCGTATTATATTACATTTATATTAGTTGAGTAGGAATTGATGTTATGTATCTAAGAACTCTATTTTACCGATTGATATAAAAACCGACAAATTAATTCGTCCGCGTAGTTCATAACAAGAAATGTATAAGCAGAGAGGAGCCTGATGCCCTTTTTACACCTAGGGATGATCCTACTTGTACCACATCCGATACCCCTTTTATACCTAAAGCTAATCCTACTTGCAGCTTATCCGAGGGAGTAGTATAAAGTGTAAAAGGGTACACTGTGGTTGGTTTCCAATCGTACCAAAGTACAACTACAGTGTACCTTTTACACTTTATACTACTCCCTCGGATAAGCTGTAAGTAGGGTTAGCTTTAGGTATAGAAGCGAGTATCGGATGAGCCACAAGTACCCGAGCA